GTGTCTAAAAATGCAGGGGGTGGGGGGGGGGGGCGGGAAGCACAACAACTTTGCAGGGGATGGCTTTTCAAATAAGCGGTGTGACGGATGACAGCTGGAGGATTTTAAATGCAGTTAGCTTGATATATTTTGTGACTTTTATAGAAATGGCTTAATAACCTTGAAACTGGTTCAATTTCTAGGCTTTTCTTAGCAGTCGTCTTTAGTCCCTAAAATACAGAGACCTGAACCCAAAAGTTCTCGTGGTCCCGTGTGATATTGCATCATTCCATGGTGTTGATTCATGACCTGTCATTGCAAATGCATAAAGCAAAATCAGCTTCCATGCTGGAAAAACACGCGTATAGGGGGAGAGGGAGATAGATTGGCAGAATCTCAAAGGCTATGAAGTTCAGGATCAGTTCGGATAAAAAACAAATGTTCGGTTTCTTATCTGATCTACAGCACGGAGGTCTCACAACAGATTCGTGTGACACTTCCCAGCACAATCGCATACTCCAGCAGTGAGGTTCCCAATATGTGGCCTTGTAAATCATCTCTGTTTTCTTCCTGCCTTTCATTCCAATACTTCGTCTCTGTCTCCTCTCTTCTGATCTTTTTTTAAAAATCCTTCGCCTTAATTTCTTGCAATGTTTTCATCTCATGAAAGAGGAGCTGCTCTTGCTCTAGGTAGAGGAGTGAGGGAAGCTGGAATCAGGCAGGAGCTGCCTGTCTCCTTCCTAATCTCTCTTCATTTTACAGCAGCAGACGTACCAGAAAGTTTCTTCCCTTTCTCCAGCCTTGGGAGATGAGCAGGGATAAAATGTTCCCCTTCCCCCAGGAGTGGAAGCTTTAAATAGAGTTGTTGTCTCTACCTTTTGCAAGAGGTAGGTTTTTCACAGATGGATTGACTGCTGGATGCACGACAGCTAGCTGAGACAGAAGTCCATATTGTGGCCAGAATATTCTTTGTCGTAGTGGGAGACCAGACTTGAATAAAGCCCTGCCTGTACCCAGGCCCTGTTGGGCCACCTGAGGCAGCTGGATGTAGTCAGTAGAGAACTGTGTGCGCAGTAGCTCTCTGCTGGCATAAATCTGGTGGAGGTGCGTGCTCTACTCCCTGCTCTAGACCTTTTATTAATGAAGGCATCAGGGATGAAGGTACTTTGTTGCTGAAAAGGGACATGGTAGTAAAAACTGTTGACCTGCCTTTCTGCTGCAATAAGGTAGCATCAGTTCTCAGTCTGCACTGGGTCTGGCTGGCTGTGAACAGATGCCTGGTTTTGGCTGCTCCTCATTGTCGCATCTGCAAGGGGTACCTTTCCACTTGGTCCGCCTAAACACAAGAAGCTCTTTGCTTGTCTTTCCTTCCTTCATTCTGTGGGAAGTTTGTTTAAAAAAAAAAAATTCTGTTAGACGTGCTGGGGAGGACTGCTAATGGGTGACTACATCTGGGGACTGGAGGCTGATGGCAGAGAAACAGAGCAAGGGAGGAGCATCCTGTATTGCTCAGCACGACGGCTGCTGTGCTTTTTATCAGGGTCAGTAGCTTCCTTTCTGGTTGCAATATATCATGGCAATCCTGGAGGATGTAAAGGTGCTGGAACAAAGTGAACTGAGAGATGTGGTAATGTCATGCTGGGGACTGTTACATGGTCACTTCTGCACCTGACTGGATAAAGGGCTATTTTCTGGCCAGGCAGAGGTCAAAAGAAGGATATAGTCTGGGGTGCCAATGTGTGTGCAGGCACGCATGTTCATTCTTATATCCAGCAGCAGCAAAAATTGAAGAAAAATCCACTTTGGGGCAGTCTTGGAGATCTGAATGCAATTCCCCTACACCAAGGAGAATCCCCATGTGTTATTTGAAATAGTCTCTTCTACCCTCAGCATTCCCTCAGACCTCTTAGATTCCAAGTCATCCCCTTTCTGGCCTCTCTGGAAAAAGCTGCTTTTCCTGGGTGTTTCTGGGCCTGGCAAGCAGCCCCCTCACCCCCAAGAAGGGCTCTGTCCTCTGCTGAAGGGAATCAGGTGGGCAGTGTCTTCACTCCTGGTACTTCTAGCAGTGTGGGAGGAGGCATTTCAGGAGATCCCAGCTTGCACTATCTGAGGGTGGGGTTCTGGCTCCTGAACCCTGAACGTCCCAGCTGGATATCTGACGCCCAGCTTGGCTGGGGAAGGAATGGCCTGTGGGGTTGCTGACCTAGCCCATGTCACGTCCAAGGGACCTTCCTGGCATCTGAATGAAGAGGAACATGGAATGTGGCCTCATGGCACTGAGATCCTCCAGAAGCATTGCCTGTGAGGCTGGGCATTTCTCTGCAGCCAGAGCCCTCTGATGGTCATTAGACCCCATCCCCTTGCCCAGCAGGCTGCAAAGCTCCTGGCTGAGATTTGGAGGAGAAGCAGAGTTTAGTCATCTTGAGGAGTGGTTTCTTCTTAGCCATAGATGAAAAGGGTCGTGCAAGGTTCTCTTGCACACTGGAGAATTGAGATAGTTCCCTGTGGCATTCATTACCATCCACCACAGGCCGTAGCCGCCTCAGTGGAGGCAGGTGTTGCAAGAGGAGCCCTGGACAATAATGTGAAGAGGTCTGAAGTCCTTTCTGTCAGCTGTACCCAAAGGGCAGCGATGGGAAATGAATGGCATTTTTGCCGTCAGGCTCCTCATGGGTGGAGTCCCACAGGGATCTGTTTTCTTCTTGCCCCATCCCATATTGATGTGCAGCCCGTGGAGACCCCTCAGGCTCTGGTACCACCAAGGTGCATCGTAGTCCCTTGTTTGCAGTCCCTGGTCGTTGGGGTTGTTCTCCAGAGGATGGAGCTAGACAGCGGGGTTTGCATGCCGACCCTGCTGGTGCGGTCAGTTCCAGCATTATTATTTGTCTTACGTTCCAGTCAAATTTAGTTGGAGGTGGCAGCATTGCTGCTGGTGGAGGCAGAGCTGGTGAGAGCGGGAGCCAGCACGACAGGGCTTGTGCCTGTGCACAGATGGAGAGCCATAGCTCGATCCCCTTTTACTGCTTGCTCATACACCTCGGCAGCATTTCTGAGTTATGGCTGGGTTCCCCACGGGTGCTGGGCTCACCCTTTGGGCAGCAAATATCCCTTTTCTTCTCTGGCTGGCTGTGAGTCTGGGTCCTATCTCTGCTCCTGACCATGGACATAACACATTTTTGTCCTCTCTTCCAGGAGTACAGAGGTGAAATTGGTATGTATAAGTCCTGGCCTTGAGGGAGGCACCTGTGAGAGGTGTGCATCAGTGCCAACAGAGGCCATCACCCAAGAACTTAAAGTGAATACTTTGCCTCTGGTTTTGGGAAGAAAATCCTTGGAGGAAAAGGAAAAATAAATAAAAGCAACAAGGTTATGAAAATGGAAAACCAGTAATCAAACAGAGAGCAAATTATGTGGCTTAATGCACTCAAATCAGGGTGACCAGATAACCTCTATCCCAGCAATGCGAAAAAGCTGCCTCACAAAATCAGAGGGTCAGAGGGAAATATTTTTAACAAAGCCCGGAGTGATGCTATAACTCTGAGGATTAATAATAGTAATGCCCAACGTTTGAAAAGGATGAAAAATGATCTAAGGAAAATTCCAGGCTGTTAGTGCAAGGCCTTCGAATGTTTTTTCAAGCAAAGACTGATTAAAGACATGTTGAGGGGAAAAATGGGATAAAATGTGACACAGATTTTCTAAAGATAGATCTTGCCAGACTAATCTAATAACTTCTTGATAAGATAACTGATTTTCTACCCTAAGGAAATTCAGTAGATTTCTTCTGTTTGGACTTGAGAGAACAATTTGATGCAGTCCATGAAGGGAGCTATTAGCTAAACCAGAGAAGATAGGGATTAGTAAAGGAATTGGAAAGTGGGCAGGGGCTGGCTTCAAGTGAGGTGGCAAGGGCTGGGTTGGCTGCAGTGGAATTACAAGCAGAGATCTTCAGCTCTCCCTCTTAAAAACTGGTCTTTTTTAATTTTCAGAAAGGGGTTTGGCACAAACCTTAGCAGTGTGCTCATGAAGTTAAAATTTGCTGATGCCACGATGTTGAGAGGCATTGTCCTGACAGAGGATGTTTGGGAAATCATCCAGGAAAAAGTGGATGACCTTGAGGGCTGGGACAAAAGAAATGGGGTGAAATGCAGTTTTTTTCCACAAATGGAAGGCAAACACGTGGAGATTAATTAGAAAAATAAATAACTGCGGTGCATATGTAGCATATGCACTATATATACAGTATAATATATACTGTATTGGGAGCTGCGTATTGGAAAGGTGGTGTATTTCATCTAAGGTGGCAGTATTTCATCTAAGAATGATTGGGAACCACAAAAGTGGCTTTTTCCTTAGCCATGAAAAAAGCAAATGCGTTTTGAGGATGCGTCAAGAGAGGTATTCCCAGTAGAAGCAGGGAAATACTGGTGCCTCTGTACATGGAAGTGGTAGGAAGTGACGCGGAATCGCAAATCATGTGTCCGGGTCAAGAAAATACTCACATTGGAGCAAGTACAGAGAAATGGGCTGGGGTGACTTGAATTTTGACAAAATGTTCTCGTGAAGGAAGACTAGAAGAAAGGGGCTCATTCAGCTGAGCGAAGTGGGTGCTCTTCTCTAGAAATACATCAGGAGTAAACACTACAGAAGGAAAAATTTGCTCTATTTAAAGGGCAGCGCAGACACAGGAATGTGTGGGTATTAATGGGTCATGAGTAAGTTCAAACTGAAAGTGTAGATGGATCCAAGCCTTGCTGCAGCATAG